GCAGGGCCTTTTTCCAGGCAGTGTTCAAGAATTGGACAGGACTGAACAGAAGAAAAAAAGAAAGAAATTCAAAATGTTTCTACACAGAGATGTTGTGGTTGTTGTGGAGAGATGTGTAGTGGTCTAAGTGAGAAGTTGCTGGTTACTTTTTACCGTTCTACCATCGAGAGCATTTTGGCATACTGTGTAACGGTGTGGTATACTGGATGCTCTGCGGAGGATAAGAAGATGCTCCAGAGAGTTATAAACACAGCACAAAAAAATCATCTCTTTCTTCTCTGGAAGAGATTGCGAAGACCAGACTCCTCTCTAGAGCACAAAAAGTCTCCACAGACCATTCTCATCCTGGACATTCATATTTCGAACTGTTACCGTCAGGGAGACGTTATAGGTGTCTTAAAATGAGGACTAATAGACTGAGAAACAGTTTCTTTTCCAAGGCAATAATTGTCTTGAATCAAACAGCTCATTTGTGATCTAGTCCTATGTATACAGTGGCATTTTTGAACTATTTAACTTACTAAAAGTTTTAGATAGGTTTTAGACTAGGTTTATTATTATTGTTGTTGTTGTATACAAAAACGACAGTATACACAGCAGACAAGATAACCATGCTGGGTTTCATATCACAAATCACTAGTCGAACACTTCCCAAGTGTTTAGGATTGCGTGATGTATTGGTGGATTATGCGAGCAGATCCCAGTAAGGTGGCCTTCTGCAGCTGACCAATGGTGATCTTGTCAGCGCCAATTGTTTGCCTAGGTCTTGCCTAGGTCTTCGGGCACAGCACCCAGTGTGCCAAGTACCACTGGAACCACCTGCACTGGTTTATGCCAGAGTCTCTGCAGTTCGAATCTCAAGTCTTGATATCTGGTGATTTTTTCAAGTTGTTTTTCATCGATTCTGCTGTCACCAGGTATGGCAATGTCGACGATCCACACTTTTTTCCTCTCCACAGTCGTGATATCCAAGGTATTGTGTTCCAAAACTTTGTAAGTCTGTATTCGGCAGTCCCACAGAAGTTTTGCATGCTCATTTTTGACCACTTTTTCAGTCTTATGATCCCACCAGTTCTTTGCTACAGGCAGATGGTAGTTGTGACACAAGTTCCAGTGGACCATCTGAACGACTGTGTTGTGATGTTGTTTGTGGTCAGTCTGAACTATTGTCTTGCAACAGCTCAGTATGTGATCAATGGTTTCATCCGCTTCTTTGCAGAGTTTGCATTTGGGGTCATCAGCAGATTTTTCTATTCTGGCTTTGATTACATTCATTCTGATGGCTTGTTCTTGGGCTGCAAGAATCAGGCCTTCTGTTTCTTTCTTCAGTGTTCTGTTGGTCAGCCATAACCAGGTCTTTTCCTTATCTACTTTTCCTTGGATCTTTTATATATTATTATAATTATGATTATGATTATGATTATTATTATTTATAAAACTCTGTAGTGTAATTGTGATGTGGTGTTTGGGGCACTGTGCTGGAGTAGCTTTCAAATTTCATTGTATTCGTGGAATGCAATGACAATAAAGGTATTCTCTTTTTATTCCAGAACATTAGGGAAGCTCACTCTGTAGCTTACCACAGAGTTACCCTGTGATAAAATGGGCAGCCAGTACATTTTATAAATGATTTTTGATTGAATGAATGAATCCAATCAATCAATCTTATTGTGTGCTCATCTTACTGGCATTCATGGTAGTTCCATGAGCTTTCAGCACCTGTCCAAAGACAAACCCAGGTGGACATAAGTGCCTTTACTAACTGCAATATTGATAATAACAAAGTTTTGTTTAGTTTAGGAGGGATAAAAATAACACAATAGATTAATGGAGTGGAATAAGAATGGAACAAAATATTCTTTATTGGTCAAGTGGGATTGGACACACAAGGAATTTGTCTCTGGTGCATAAGCTCTCAGTATACATACAAACAACAAAGTAATGTAATCATAAGATACCATTAGGAGAAGGTAATATTTAGAGACATTTAGGGCATGGGATTTATTTATTTATTTTTTTTTTTGCTTAAAATGTGAGATGCCCCCCTTCCCCAGCTTGCTTTTCAGGGCCGGAGACAAATTCTTCCACAGGGAGAAAGGTTGTATCATACCTGGGCAGTAATGGGAAGGGGGGGGGGAATCTCATTCTGTCTCATTTCTTAATGCATTCTATCCTGCCATCTGCTCGTCCTAGGATGCATTTACTCAACTATTTCTGTAAGGAGGGGGAAACTGCAAGTGGTTGCAAAGTTCAGTTAAGTTGCCTATGTCCCAGTAAAAACAGGCCAATTTTACTCTGCCATTTATTCCTTAATATTCCACCAACTTTGCAGATTTTAATCTCCAAGTCAGCATCTCCACGATATAACCACACAATCTCACAAAGCAGCTTATCCCATTTTAGCCTGGTACGAAAATAACATTTAACAGATTAACAGAGTTGGAAGGGACCTTGTAGGTCATCTAGTCCAACCCCAGAAGCCAAAGCAGTGCCTTTGCTGCATCGGACCACTCTCTCCCATTCTTTGATAATTCAGCATGTCAAATGAATCTAGAAACTAGATAATTGAATAAACCATGGTTCCGTTTGAATTAGGATGGTTATTAGGTGTTTACTGCAGGGGGAAAAATTGGCTCCACTAAGAATCACTGGATTGGTCCAATTGGACTATTTGACTCTCCAAAGCATCTTCAAATCATCAAATTGATCTAAACACTACTCATTCCATTTGATTTTTTTTTAAAAAGCACAGATTGTATACAGCTGGTCCTCGACTTACAGCCACAACTGAACCCC